ATAACAATATAATATACAACAATAATAACAGTGCATGTGTATGCCTTCAAGTTGCCTGTGTATTTATAGTGACTCCATGAATTTCACAGGGTTTTCTTGGGCAAGGAATACTCAGAAATAGTTAACCATACCCTTCCTCTGAGATATAGCTTACAGCATCTGGTATTCTTTGGCAGCCTCCCATCCAAGTTCTAACCAGGGTTGATTCTGCTTAACCTCCAAGAGCAGACAGAATTTGCTGCCAGCAAGGTATTTAGACCCCTCTTGCATCTAGGACTCACCAAGGATATTACTGAATTTAAAACATACACATTTTTTTCAAGCTATCTCATGGTAAGATGCTAGATGGTTTGGTTCTTCTGTTAATAGGATAACTCTTCTCTGCTTGAGAAAAAGCAAATCAATGTCGTATATCTTTGGACAATATTCTGAGATATTATTTTAGGAAAGAGCAGGCTTGAGAAATAGGTTGTACTTTTGCTTTGTACAAGAAATTTCTTCTATAGCTTAGCACTCACAGATTGTATATAAAATGTACAAAATATTCACTTTTAACATCAATAATTTATTATGAGATAAATGAATTGATTATTGTACAGTCAGCCCTTGGTATCCACAGGTTTTTTTATCCACAAATTCAAGCTTCCATACTTGAAAATATTCCAAAAGCAAACCTTGATTTGGTCAGTTTACATAAGAGACACCATTTTACTATGCCATTGTATTTAATGGGACTTCAGCATCCAGATTTTAGTATCCACCGTGTGTGTGTGTGTGTGTGTGTTCTTGGAACCAAACTACAGCAAATACCAAGGGCCTACAGTATAACATTAGAACGAGGGCTAATGTAGCATAGTGGTTTGAGTCTTGGACTAAAACTCTGGAGATCAGAGTTTGATTCTCAACTGGGCCATGAAACCCCACTGGGTATCCTTGGGCAAGTCACAAGTTCTCAGCCTCAGAAGACAATGGCAAACCTCCTCTGGAAAAATCTTGCCAAGAAAATTCCATGGTAGCTTAACCTTATGGTCACCATAAGTCAGAAACAAATTGAAGGCACAGAACAATAACAACAACAGTAGAACATTCTCTGATGCAAAATGTGCTGGGTTCTGGGGGCTGTAGTGCAAAAAGCTATTTCCCCAAGCTCTGCTTTGATATAATTATACATTGGGAGAACATGTTGAATTGTAATCCTGTTATTATCTTGTTTATTTATGTTGATAATCTTTTAATTTGTTTTTTTTTAATGTATACAGCAATTGAGGTAGTTGTAGCAATGGAAAATACCATTATGTTTGTTTGTTTTTTTAAATGAAGCTTTGTCATGTTCTTCCTATACTTCGCACAGAAGTTTGTCTTGTTTCGTTTTAATTTATTTTTGACATGAATGAGGAAAAGGTAGATCCTTAGTCCAACAGCAGACTTGGGACTAGATCCAGATTTAAGTATACTTAAAGAGGTTAGAATGGAACCAATGAATTAAATGGAACTTCAGTTATGATTTATTTGTCCCATTAATTTCTAAGCATAGCTAAGTCATATATTAAATTTGTAGAGGTGGGAAACCTGTGACTCTCCAGATGTTATTGGCTCCAGAAGAGGAATTTCAGCAGATGTAACTTGTAATGCAAGCCTAGGGTCCATCTTTGGTTAATGCCTCCCTGAGACACCCATTTTCCCATATGAGCTTGTTTGGTTTTTATGGTCTTCAGGGGAGGTTCTCCTTTTTGTCCTAGCCCCAAAATATAGACACAATTGGCAAAGGAGGGCTTTTTGTGGCTGCTGCTAGGCTCTGGAGCTCCTTACAAATAGAAGCTTAAGTGACAAATTCCTTTTTCCACACAGCTGTTAAGCTTTAAGAACTCTGCCCTTTGTGTACCTTTGCCTTCACCAGCTGAGAATTATTTTAGAATGGAGACTGCAGTCGAGATTTGGGGAGAATAGCTATAAAGGAACTAAACAAGATGCTGAAGTCTTAAGATAAATCATGGAATAATAAAGTTAAGATTGTCCATGCCATTGTATTTCCAATTTCTATATATGGTTGTAAAAGTTGGACAGTAAAGAAAACTGGCCAGAAGAAAATCAATTCATTTGAAATGTGGTGCTGTTGAAAAGTTTTGTGGATACCACGGACTGCTAAAATGACAAATAAATGGGTCCTAGAGCAAATCGAGTCTGAACTCTTGTTTTCCTAGAAGCCAAGATGACTAAACTGAGACTGTTGTACTTTGGCTATATCATGAGAAGACATGACTCATCAGAAAAGACAACATTTCATAAAACAGAAGGCAACAGGAAAAGAGGAAGACTACATTCCAGATGGATTGACTCCATCAAGGAAGCCATGGCTGCCCTGAGTCTTCAAGACCTGAGCAGAGCTGTTGATGATAGTGTGACTTGAAGAAGATCTCTCATTTTTAGGGTTATCATAAGTTGAAGTCAACTTGATGGCAGTTAACAACAACAACAACAACAACAACAACAACGGAAATGATGTAGGTTGTTTTTCAAACCCTCACCTGATTTGCAGAAATAGCAAATGATTTGCATTATATGCAAAGTAATGTCATCTAGATTTAGAAAATGGGAGATTGGTAAGTCTACTTTATTGGTCCAAAAGACTATGAGTGTTCGTGTTGGTTGTATAGTTTTAAACTACTGATATATTAGAATTTGAGGAAATTGTTCTTGATGGCCTGATGAACTCTATCATGCAGAGATGGGCTACAGAGTACAGGAAATATGATAAATATCTTCATTCAGGACCAGATGCAATATATTTAGATGCTCTAAAGCAACTTAAAGAAAGCAGACATGGCCACTTCTTACAAAGAGTTTGCAGACAAGGTGTTAAACAGGATATAACTAGAAGAGGAGGAATAAAGGAGGAGGAGGATATGGGTTGGGGTGACAATAAAGCACTTCTGTTCCTAGGTTGTATAAGAGCAGAAGGCACAGCATGCAATTTCCCTAATCAGTGCAAAATGCACATGATGCAAGGTGCTATGGAAGAAGAAAGGTTTGGCCATAAATTATCTAGTAATGGCGTGAAGAGAACAGCATGATGTGCAACTAGTATATGGCCTGACCCATAAAAGTGTTATGCCATGGTTGCTATCACTGAAGCTCATTCTAGTAAACTAAATTCAGCTTTAAGATACCAATTTTAAAGGAAATGACAGAGTGGATTTCTTGCTGTTCCTTGGTCTGTATACAAGTGACATGCAGGGGTAGCTGTGTTGGCCATTAGAAAAGTCAAACAAAAATCCACCAAACAGTGATACCTTTATTGGTCAGCCCAAATGCCCAATATACTTGTTATCAGCTTTCGAAGCTCCACTGGCTTCTTCATCATGCAAGATGTTACAAAC